CAGCGCGCTTGCCCACCCTGGTGACAGTCGTCACCAATAAGCTCTTCCGCTTATTCTCACACTATGGTGTAAGTGACTTGTGATGCCTTAGTAAGGCAGGTACCCAAAACACTTAGACTAGGAAATGACTGGGCTCCAAGTAAAATTTAAGGCAGTAAGTGGGATGATTGTGCGTCCCTTCACTCTCCTGAGGGAGGGAGGAAAAGGAGTGGTTGAAAAGTTAACAGATCACTCATCCAGTAGTTCTGCTAACTGATGGCTGATGTTGCATTTGAAGATGACATCAGTGTCTTCATTACTTCTGACCATAAGGACAGACATTCTGGGAAAGCCAAGCCTGGCAGCTATTGCTGATTACCAACTGCATATCTCAGGCAGTTCACCAGATTATGAAGTGGAGGCCTTGTGGAACTATCTGATAAAATTTCTGCAATACAACAGGTGATCAATTAGTGTAAAGGGAGCGCTGAGCTCCCATGGGGTCAGAATTTATACCTCAGAGAAGCTTTAGAGTTGTCTCTAACTTGATATTGTAACTGGACCCACCACACACTTTAGAGCATTACCTGCTAACTCTTGAATTGTCTGACACATAGTAGGCACTCTAGACATTTTGCTGAACAAAGCCTGTCAGACCAGCTCAACTCATTCTTTTTTTTTTTGTCTGTTGTGGGGCTTGAACTCTGGGCCTGAGTGCTGTTCCTCAGCTCTTCAGCTCAAGGCGGGCGCTCTACCACTTGAGCTCCAGCGCCACTTCCAGTTTTCTGGTGGTTTATTGGATATAGGAGTCTCACAGTCTTTCCTGCTGGGGCTGGCTTTGAACCGAGATCCTCAGATCTCAGCCTCCTGAGTAGCTAGGATTACAGGCATGAGCCACCAGTGCCAGCCTCAACTCATTCTTAGGAAGCAGCATCATTCCAAATAACAGTGAGACTGAGCCTTCCAACAAGGAAGAGGGAGGACATACTCCCAGGTGCCCAGAGAGACCCTCCAGGACAAGGCTGAGACTGCTGGGAAGATAGGTGAGCTGGGAGGACATTTGGAAGAAGATTGTTTGAGTCACCCCAGGACCTGGATGGACTAGTTCATAAAATCAAAGAATGACAGGTTGGATGATTTAGAACTCACCTAGAAACCAACAAGAAGGGTCTATGGCTTATATAACAAAGAGCTGGGGCCTGGGTCCGACTCACCTCCTTGTGTACTGCTTTTTTTTAATCAAAACAACACTAGGGATTGCAAAAAGGTAGAAATGCAATTTGTTAATTTTAATGTGTGTAGAGGAGGGCACAGAGTATACCGCTGATAGATAAGAGTCTTGTTTCACATCATTCTCCTCTGTCAAGGAAACTGATCTTCATGATGATATGGGAACAGTCCAGAATCGTCAGCTGGTAATTAAGTTTTAAGAGAGGCTAGAAGATAGAGTGCCTGATCAATTTAATTAACTCAAAGAACTTCCTCTCCAGAGTACTCTGAGACTGGGGAGAGCACTGCCTGCTTCTCTGGAGGAAGGGGCTGCCAGCTATGCAGGTCAACAAGAACTGCAGGGCCACTAGAAGCCACTGGAAGCACCTTCGCACCTACCATTCGGCAATTTTTATTCTCTAAGTGCTGTGGGTCACATTCCTTAACAGAGCCAAAGTTCTGAATGACTCGAATGGGGGTGGGGGGAGAACTGAAGCATCAAAAATAGTGGGCGGTTCCACATTAAGCATTATTTAGTCTGTATAAACAGAAAACACAGGAGATATGGATTCGGGTTTATAATGCCTGTTTGGAGGCTGGGGTGTAGCTCCATGGTACAGTACTTGTTTAGCATGTACGAGGACGCGAGCTTGATCCTAAACACCATAAAACAAACCCATCCTTTGCTAAGCCTCCTAGTAGTTCATATTCAGAGCATCGTGAATCTTGGTGTATTTCCTTGTAATACCTCTGCTTGGATAGCAGGCGGAACCTTAGAGGCAGTGGTGAAGGCTAGGGCTCCCAGACTCTGCCCATGGGACATCACTGCAGCACTCTGTTCAGCGGTGTGGGCGCCCAGGGTAGGATAAGACCCTACCCAACCTAGAAGCCATATCTTGTGAGCTTGAAGGACTCTGGAAGTTCATTTTGTACCAGAGAAAGCTGTGTGCACTTTCAGTGGTTAGAGCATGCAGGCCTTTATTTTGCTGTGCCACTTTATAGGACAGAACTAACATTAGATGAAGGCAACTTTTACCAAATATCAGTGAAAGAAAACTAGCATTAATTGAATACTCAATACTTCTTACTAGGTTCTATACAGTGTTTTTAAACCTTTCAGATATAGGTGGGTATTTGGGGCAAGGAGCTTCAGGCACTAGAAGACAGATCTCTAGCTCAGCACTGTTTCTTTAAAGCAGCACGCTCCCTCTCTGCTTCTGGGACTTTGGGGATGCCCACTAGACCCTCCTGGAGCCAGTTTCCTCTCTGGAGGCAGACCTTCTGGGACAGCAAAGGCCCTGTGCCTTTGCAACATCATCTTCCTGCATCCATTTCTAGATGTCTGACTGGGAGCAGAGGCTACCTAGTTCACATTTTACAAAGCTACTATTTTATATTCATGCCTGTGGGACAGGCTGGGTGTGGAGAGGGCCCTAAGAGTTCCTGTGGTTTGTGAGGGACTGCGTGGCAGGGGAAGGAAATGCCATTCCTTTCCCTGTACCCTGAGCATGTACCTGTAACCAGGGAGTCTCCGACATGCTGGTGCACTTCAGCCTAGAAAGGCTCTGGCCCAACCAGACTTCCACTCAGACAGGATTTCAATGAGCAGATGGACTTTAATATAGTCAGGGACTCTGTCCTGAGAGCAGCATGCAAGCTCTGCTTGTTCGCCTCAGTCAGTCTTCTAAGTAACGCCACCGCGTCAGTGTGCACTGAGCTGGCTCCTCCCTGGCACTGCTCATCCTCACATGACCACACACACATCACCATCAGATGCTTTGCTGCTTCACACCACGCGCGCGCACACACACACACACACACCGCGCACACACACACCGCACACACACACACCGCACATACACACATACTGCACACACACACACTGCACACACACACACATACCACACACACACCGCACACACACACACACACACACACACACACACCCGCCCCGAGAGCAGCCAGCCAGGTCTGTTTTGATCCTTGCTCCATCCCAAACATTGCCTAGCCTAAGGAAGATACTCAGTGAACGGATGAATGTCCAGTGGAATGGTTAGAAACACACAGAAGTGTCCCAGAGTAACAGCTAAAATGTAAGAGGCTTCCATATGGCCACAAGAGGGTGGTGTTGGTCCTTTTGGTTTTTTACATTTTATAGGAGACTTGTTCTGAGATCATTCTCTGTTCTTCCTCCCTAGTCTCCAGAAAGAATATCTGGGACAGGATCATCAGCTAAAGCAAAGATGCATTGTGTCTTCAGTGAGACTCCATTTATCCCATATCAGGTCTCTAGGAAGAAAGATCACTAGAGCAAGACCCCCAGGACTGTCTCCACCATGCCCTGTTTGTCATAGGGATGCCACCAGGTGGCCACAAGACCTTGTGCTTTTCCTACATCTCTCCACCTCTCTTCTGTGCAAGAATGTCTTGTGATCTGTCTTACAAAATGTGAGCTCCTGTAATGCATTAGTCATAGTTCCGATGGTCGCCTTTCAGACTCTGGAAAAGTAGCAGCATCCAAGGAGTTGTCATTCTTTTACTAGGTTCTACTCTGTAAGACGCCATGCTCAGGAACTATGAGAAGTGATCTGGGAATGAAAAGGACAGTCTTAAGGTCAGGGTCCACAGTGATGACACAGGAAGGGAGAGGAGGACATGGAGACCCAGATGGCAGAGGACGGGAGTTGTCTCCCATCAGGAAGGCCAGAGGGAGCCTTGTTGGGATGCGAGGGAGGCCGGGGTGAAGTTTCATATACCGGTTATTCACACTTGAATTTTAGAATAATTTTATTCTCATTTAAGAAGAAATACCTAAGAGCATGAAAGCCATCAGTTCTCATATATCCCACACCTTCAAGACCTCATGCCAAGTCAGAAGAGCTGGAGGGAGATAATGTGGCGGTGTAACAGAGCGGGTGGGAACAAGCCTTAGTCCATCGCAGCAGCTCCTCAACTCAGTGCCCTTGTTCACACCAGAGACCAGGGGGTGTCACAGCTTAAACACAGGATCCCCCTCCAAAAAATAGGTATCATGTAACCCTACCTCACCACTCCTGATATATAATTAAAAATATGAGCCAATATACAATAGAGGTACACATTTTATAGTTTATTGCAACACTATTCATAGTCAGCCTGGGTGCCTAACAATCAATAAATGGATAAAGAAAATAAGTAGTATATACACAATGGAATTGTATTTAACCATAAAAAAGAATAAAATTATATCACTTGCAGGACTATAGAATTGAAGAGTATCATGCTGAGATTAAACCAAGCCCAGAAAAACAACTATTGCATACATTCCTGCATGTGTGGAATCTAGGCCTAAAATATCCTAACTCTGTGACGTGATTGTAAAAGCAGGATGTTTGGGGAAGAGTGGCTTGATGTGGGGGGGATCCAGTCAAAGTGTATTTATGCATGTGTGGAATATCTCAGTGAAATCCCTTTGTAAGATTAGTTTAAGCTGATAAATTTTTCTTTAAAAATAACAACAACCAGGAACTAGACAATGGAAATCCTTGAGGCCTGTTGTCATCTTGTCTAAACAGAACATGTCAGAACCTTTAAGTATCTAGTGAGGCCCCAGGACTCACAGACCAACACAGTGGGCTCTGGTCAGACCTATTCTTTATTTGAAAGAGAGACACCCAGAGGATGAGCAAGGAAAGACTGAAAAGCTCAAATGTCAAGGAGCAGCTCTGAATCAAGGGCTCTACTCCCCTCCTGCCCCTCCCCACCCCACAGCGCAGGGTCATTGTCATGGCCTGTCCTTTAGACGAACTGTGAAGCACTCCACGCTCCACAGACTAGTGTGGCAGGACTTCTTCCACCTCTAGAGTGAGGAAGGGAAATAAGATGTCCCTCAGCTGCTTCAGGCTGTGTCTGCTCATCACCATGGGCAGGGCATCTGTGAGAAAGTCTGGGTTTACGTACTGCAGGTGAAAAAGCACATAGCCCAGCAGCCTGACGAAGATCATGACCATGAAGACAAGACACTGGAAATGCCTGCAAAGAGACATCTGTCATCAGCCTGGGGAAAAGGACTACCCAAGGGTCACGCAGTGGTGCGGATCCCATACTGCTAAGTGATGCGTGGCTTGCGTCAGGTGAAGCCCCTGGGCAGGGGGAGTGGGCCTGCAGAAGGTGAAGGGCCAGCGGACCAAGAAAGTGGTATAGTCGGGAGGAACCAAACACAGCCCCCCTGGCTTCTGTGTCCTCCAGCAGGACACATGTCCATATGGGACAGCTGGAGGGTCACGTGAAGGAACTTTCTGGGTGGGAGGCAGGACTGCCACACTATAAACCTCATGACGGTGGCCCTTTTCATGTCTTCTACAACAAAGCAGCTCTGGAACGTGAAATATGATTTAACCATCTCTGGTATCAACATAAATGCAAAGTCATGACTGGCTGTTTCTAAGCATCAAGTGCCCAACAAAACCAAGTCAAACAATAAAATGTGTGTTTTCCATGTGCATCCAAAAAAAAAATCTACCAACTGGTCTAAGGCTTCAATTCTTCAACTGATTCAAAATGGCATAAGTTTTTGTGAAAGTTCTACATAAATCACTTCAGGATCAATCTTCTCATTTCACAGATTAACAGAACTCAAATGATTTCTTTATCTAGAATTACTCATCCTACAGTAAAAGAACCCATAATATTCGTGTACCTTATACTCCCTTTCCGAGAAACTACTGGGTTAAGGGTCTGAAACCATCATAATTAAGGATCATGAGAATGGAAATTGCACAGAGGCTTATGCCTATAATCCAAGCTACTTGGGAGGCTGAGATCTGAGGATCACAGTTCAAAGCCAGACCAGACAGAAACTCTGTGAGACTCTGATCTCCAATTAACCACTAAAAAGCCGGAAGTAGAGCTGTGGTTTGAGTGTTAGAATACAAAAAAAGTTAAGGTACACTGCCCAGGTGCACACACACGTACGCACACACATGCACACACATGCACGCATGTGCACACAAAATGAAAATTACAACCAACAAACTTCCTCCCTGGACTTCACAGAAGTAGCAATTAATTGTTCCAGCTATGCACAACTGTGTAACTCTAGTGCTTTAATTCTGGTGTTTTTAGGTAGGTGTGCTTGTCCTTATTACTTTGGCCAGTGTTAGGTCACCTACAGAGAAGGTTACAGAGCCCCTAGATTACATCAAAGTAAGACTGTGCCACTTACCTGTACCAAAAGATTCTCTTCTGTTTCTTAATGATGGTCCTTTCCTGTGGGAAGCAATAAAAGTGGAAGGGCTATCTCTTCAGATCCTGGCAGATAGGAGGAGGATGGGGCTGCTTGGGCTTGAATTCTGGTTCTGCCTTTTCCTACCTGCTATGGTTTAGAGCAGGACACTGGATCTTATTTCCTAACTTCAGGGCTATTATAAAGAGTGGTGACAGAGAGACGCCAGGAGGGAAAGGGAAGACTTACCATGTTACTTTGGATGGTTTCCACCAGAATTGACCCAGGCTTCACTATTTGGGAAGAGTTATTCTGGGCTTTGGATCTGGTGGAAAAGATCAGAGCCAAGAATTAGTAACTCAACCCGAGCAGCTGATGAAACATGGTTTGTTTGTTATGTGGTGGTACTAGGGAGGTTGAACGCAGAACCTTGCACTTACTAGGCAGATGCTTTACCACTTGAGCCATTCTCCCAATGCTCATTTTGCCTTGGTTATTTTTCAGGGAGGCTCTCATGTATGCCCTGGACAGGCTGGCCCACAACTCACCCTCCCTGCTTCCCGTGCAGCTCAGACAGCTATATGCCACCACATCCCGTTATTGATAGAAAGGGGCCTGTGTCTATTTCTGGGATCATTCAGATCTCTGCCTCCTGAGTACCCAGGATTACAGACGTTAGCTTTGGCACCCAGCTTTAAAAAAAAGCAAGAACAGGATTTCGCTGTATCCCAGGATAGCCTCAGACTCATGGCCCTCTTGCTTCAGCTTCCTGTGTGGTGGCAATATGGGCATGCATCACCAATCACCATGCATGGCTGAAAGGTGCGTGTCTAGGACTTCTTTCTTCCTTTCTTTTTTTTGTTGGTCATGGGGCCTGAACTCTGGGCTTGGGCGCTGTCCCTCAGCTCTTCAGCTCAAGGCTAGCACTCTACCACTTGAGCCACAGTGCCACTTCTGGCTTTTCTGCTTATATGGTGCTGAGGAATCGAACCCAGGGCCTCATGCATGTGAGGCAAGCATTCTACCATTGAGCCACCTTCCCAGCCCTAGTATTTATTTCTTGAGTTCCTGGTAACACTCATAATGCTTGACATCAAAATTCTTATTGCTTAGCATACAGAGAACTAGGGAAAATGTGGCCCATTCTTAAGAAAAAGGCAATCTGCCCAAGACCCTGGCTAAGTTCAAAACCACAGGTGCTCAGAGCAGTCAGTGAGCAGCCCAGCTAAGGATCTAAGATGTAACCTGACTCTCGACTGCCTCCAGGAGACTGGCTTTACTTGGACTCTAACGTCAGGTACAAACTGGTTCTCTACTTTCTTTCTAGCAGCTTTGGCTGCCTTGAATTCTTGTTTATTAGCCCAGATTTACTTCCAGTTCTCTCGTATTCTAGGTGCCCCAAGGTACACCATCCCTACCTCACAGCTATAAAACCCAGAAAGAATCCCGCTCTGCTCTCCTTTCTCAAGTGTTCTCTACAGAATCTGCCTGTTTGTTCTTTTCTTTTGTTGTCCAGACTTTGGGGATGTTTTCTGCTAGAGTCACATTTATCCGGTATTCTCATGAGGCTTTCTTTTCATAGTCATCAAGTAAGGGAGAGAGAGAGGTGGCACAGACTCTTGGTTCTTCCATGACAAGCACCCTGTGCCAGGAGATCCCACTTTCAAAAGCACCTGTACGCCTGCATAAAATAGACAGCGTGGTCTGATTGCCAGAGGGCTACAAACCCTGGGTGTAGAAAAGCCATAAGCCAGTTTCCTAATGTAGACCAGGCAGTCCTCCAAGGACATTGGCGGTTTCTGGATTTGAAGCTTGCAGCGGGAAGTGGTAGCATCACTGGCTGGGGAGAGACAGGCTAGAGTTCATAATGCCAGAGAACTAAGGCCTGGGAGGAAAATTGGAGGGCAGAGGGACTACACAGAAGTGAGCTCAAGTATCGCTGGAGCAGCAGCTCTTCACCTGTACCTACAGAAAGATGTCCAGAAAAAAGCAGTGCCTAAAGATTCAGGCATATGCTGAGCATGGTGGCTCACCTCTGTAATCCCAGCTATTTAGGAGACAGAAATCAAGAGGATCGTGGTTCCAGGTCAGCCTGAGCAAAAAGTTCCTGAGACCTAACGGAACAGAAAGTGCTGGGCACGGCCATGTGCATCTGTCATCCGGGCTGCCCCAGCGCAAAGCAAAACCCTATGAAGAAGAAGTAATGAAAACTCAAAGGACGTAGCTCAAGAGAGAATGTCTGCCTGGCAAGTGCAAGGCTCTTCGTTCACACCCCAGCGCTGCCAAGCAAGGAACGGGGCATCGGCTGGAGCAGCAGTGCCCTGCCGTGCTGTAAACGGTGAGCTCAAGGCCCGCCAACCTCAGAGGGAAAACACGACCATTTCAACAGACCCACACAAAGCCAAGAACACACAGGAACTTTAAATGGAAGAGAGTAGATCTGGTACAAGATGTGTTCAAGAGAGTGCCAAGCCAGCTCTACGTTCAGTAGCACGCTAGCGTGTGAGCCTACACACAGTACTGTGTGTCCAGCTAGTCTCTGTTGTACAGTCATGGATCATGCACACAGTGAGAAATGGCTATTAAAAAAGTTTGGAAAGTTACAGCTGTCCTTCAAAGATGAACTTCTACAGGAGCCTACTAGGCACAACAGTAAGTGAATCTAGCAACGCCGATGGATAAAGTTCAACGTGCAGACAGGCGTTTCTGAAGCTCTCGCACGCGCGCGTGTGGTAGTGTGACAGGTGTCTCTGGTGGTTTCAGCACATCCTGGAAAAGGGGACGGTATGGTGAAGGGACATATCCGGGCTGTTTTCACAGTGATTTCCCTTTCTCAATGTAGCTTGAGTCAATTTTGGGGAATTTGAGTCAAATAAGAATAAAGGAAAAGGAAAAAACAAAAAGAATGAAGGAAAAGAACACTAAAGAGACACACAAGCCACTGAGGGTGGCCAGAGGAAAACATGGATGAGTTTCTGGTCCAGACCACGGTGGGGCGCTCTGGGACCCTCAGCCCTCCACAGAGGTGGCTTTCCCAAACTTACATTTCTTTCTCCAGCAGTAGTACATCCTTTTCCTTTTCCATCTGCCTCAGAATTTCCTGATATTTCTTCCCAAGGGAGGAAGAGGATGTCATAAACAATAATTTCAGTGTTTTATTTTCATGTCATTGATGCGACTATTTTGCTAAGACTGATTTCTGATATTCCACAAGTGTGCCGAGGGTTGGGGGTTATTCTCGTAAAGAATTAGGCGAGCCTAGGGAGGAGGGTAGAGCCTTAGGCCTGCTAGAACTCAAGTCCCAGCTCTAACAGGACTCCAGCTGTGTTCCCCAGAACACATCCCGACTCCTCTGAACCGTGGTGTCCTGACCCTAACAGGATCAGCCTCCCCGAGTTATTGGAAAGTCTGTCTGGGAACGATGCTGTATGAAAAGCCCAGGACACGGCCTGTCTGCCCTGCTGTCCTTGCTGTTGATACGAGACAGGGGTCAGGCTCTGGGAAGCCAAGGATCCCATGACCTTGGGGGAAGTCCCCTCATCCAACCTCCCTCAGAAGCACCGTACCTTTATGTAATGGGCCTGGTCCTCACAGAGCTGACACACAGATTGGTAGTCACTCTCTATCTAGAAAGACAAGAAAATGAACAAACCTTAGTAGTTAAGTCAGAGCGACGACAGGCTGCTTCCTGGTACATTGGACATTTGGTTGGTTACCTAGCAACTACATGCTGGAGGAGAAACAACTACCTCACAGAGCAATGACGTCATTCACTCAGAGGGTCTAACTATGAGCCCCTCTGTGCGAAGGCCGAGGGATGGTATAGAGCTTCAGCCAGGGGACAAAATAGTTAAGAAACAGGAATACTAGTACTTTTGTACTTGAGTACTTGGTTTTTTAACTCAGAGCCTCGTACTTGTTAGGCACACCCCCAGCCCTTTATATTTTGGGTAGGATCTTGCAGTTTTGCCCTGGGGCTGGCTTGGACTGAATCCTACCTATAGCTCAGATAGGCACTATACCCAGGCTGTTGGTTGAAATGGGGTTCTTGCTTTTTGCCTCAGCTGGACTTGAGCTACAATCCTCATAATCTCTGCCTCCCAAACTGCTAAGCAGTCAGAATCGTAGACCTGCAGCCCCGTGCCAGTAGATGCGTCTTACTCTTTACCTGTGTAAAGACATTCATTTGCCAGGTATTTTTGCTCCCTACCCCCCATGTCTCAAACTGGTCCTGGCTTTAGATTCTCGGGTTCCTCCTCTTCATATCCCAGCGACACCCTTGTTGTAGACTACCTTAGCCATCTCCTTCTGTTGCTGTGTGCAGGACTCAGTTGACTTTTGTAGTTGTACCTGGGGAAGGTGTGTTAGTAGAAAGTTAATAACATTCCCTGTGCCAGGCAGATTATGTAACAGCCATCCTCTCCAAACCAGTGGAAACTGGGGTGACAATGATGGTCCCATATTGAGGAACACATAATCCTAGTCTCCAGTGGGCAGGGTTATCATCTGTTGTTAGCAGACAGGACACACAATCAGAGGAGTGACCTGCACAGTGTCATTAAGTCTCAGATTGGCAGAGCCAATCTCCATTCCTCAGCAGTCTTTTTCTATTGTTCATTCTGTAGAATATGGCATGCCCTCCAAACCACACATGGGTCAAAGAGACCCCAGGCCTCTTTTAGAGGAAAGCATAGGACCAGGGGGCTCCGCCGTATACGTCTGCAGATGTAGGGTTTTGCTCCTGCTGGAGTCCATTTTATTTGTTTACTTAACATATGTTTATGGGACATCTGCTCTCTGTCAGTCTGTTTTAGACTCTGAGGTATAAATAACATAGTTTCAAAGTTTCATGTTCTCAGTTGTTTTACCATCTACTAGAGGAAAAAGGTTAAAAAAATAAAGCCCAATTGACCTGCAAGCAATGAGACTGGAGAATCAAATCACAGACACAATCTTATACAATTGTGGGTGTTAGTATCGTCTTTCTACCAGAATATCTGTATTTGTGCATCCTCCTTTAGATCATAAACTTCTGGAGGGAAGACTGCATGCAGGTCCGGTGCTCTTCCCTGCGCCTGGTGAGCAGGCATGGAATTAAGTAGCAGGAGCGAAGGCCATGTGTTCACTTGTGATACACCTCGCCTGGGAAAACCACGAGAGCAGTTCTAGAAGCCAGAACTAACACTGCTTCTAGAAAATCCCAAAGGTTGCTGTTTTACTCACTTTCAGTTCTACCAAACTCTGCTTCAGAGTTCCTTTACTAAGAACAGCATTCTTAAATCTCTTTGAGACCTGAAACACATTGCCAAAAAACATGAGCTTAGAATGAGATACAAACATAAAGGCCCGGGGTGGTGGTCCCAGGTCCCAGGCCCTGGTGTAGCTTGCTGGGAGTCTCCTGTTCCTCTAGAAGCTCTCCGGCCCATGCTGCCTGGACAGCCCTTTCTGTTCCCCAGCCCAGGAAACCTTCCCATGAGCACAGAGGAGGAAGAGACCGAGTCAAGTGGATGGGGAGGGAGGGCCCAATCTCTTCTGCCCTTGCAATCCTTTGGTCCTCTTGCCATTGTCTGAATTTCCCCCACAGCAGGGGCTGTTTAGCCAGTCTGTCAGAGGCTTCAGAAGGTGAAGGGAAGGGAGCTCCTTGTGACTGGCAAGTTCAGGAAGCTCCATTAAGACTCATAAGAGACAAGCCCATTTCAAGGGTTGGCTTTGTGGTATGGACGACAGCCCTCATCTGAGAATGCCCCGGTCTCCTTTCCATGCTCCACACCCCTTCCCCTGCGTTTCTCCTGGGAAGGTGATGTCCTAGGGATCCAAGGAGTTCAAGACCTGTGGTCCCCTTACCTTCTTCTGAAGCTCCCCCAAATTCCTGGCTAGGATCTTGTTCTTTTTTTCCTGTGGGGAGAAGGAAGTAAAGGGGGCAAGCATGCTCAGTTTTACACACACACACACACACACACACACACTATGGGCCACTGAGATAATTCTGAAAGAGTGTGGTACCGGATGGAGCCCGTGCCCAGCCCCAGGCTGAGCTTCTCACTCAGATCATGGCCCCACGCGGTGAATTCTGTACAGATGCATGGGCAGGTGTGCACGGATGGTGGATGGTCCCCAGGAGACTGAAAGCCCTGATTTCTGCTTCTGGAAGGCTCTTTACCAGCTTGGCTGTCTCTAGTTCCAGACCCCTCAGGGTGTCCTCCTTGTCAGACAGGAGCTGGTCCATCTCTTCCCTCTCTTTGACTCTTCCTACTGACAGGGCAATATCTCTTTCCAGACTGAAAAACAAGGTCCATGGGCTCAGCCTGTGCAAGGAGATGCTAGGCCCCAGCTTTAAAGGGCTGCTTTGGCTGGGGCGGGGGTGGGGGGGTGACTAGCACAGAGCAAATGCCTAGTGCAACACTGTATCTGTAAAGCCTGTGTTTCAGGGCTTAAATAACATGAGCCATTTACCCTCTCCCCCCTCCCCTTTCCCAAGAGGCACTGAGGGGAGGCTCCCCAACCTTTCAATCGTTTCCTCCTTCTCTTGAATTTTTCTAAGAAGCATCTGATTTGTCTCATCCAGTCTCTGCAGGTCATTTTCAAGGTCTGAGTTTAGGTAGTCAAGGTTCTGCTTTACCACCACTAAGTTTGATATCTCCATCATCTTGTGCCTACAGGAAAATTGGCTTCATTACTCAGCCAGGAACAGGAAAACTCATTTGACCACTACCTGTTGTTTATGGGCCTGGTCGGTTCTACTTCATTTTCCAGGATCAACTGATTTCTACAGGGTTTTGCATACAATAAATTTCTGGAGTCACGTCACATTTTAATTTTAAATATTATGATCAAAACTTACGAAAATGCAACTCTTTTGGGAAGCAAAGGAACTATATATATTTGCCAGTCCTGGAGCTTGAACTCAGGGCCTGGCACTGTCCCTGAGCCTCTCCGTGCCCAAGGCTAGCACTCTACCACATGCCACAGTGCCGCTTCCAGCTTTTTCTGTGTATGTGGAACTGGGGAATGGAACTCAGGGCTTCATGCATGCGAGGCAAGCACTCTACCACTGAGCCACATTCCCAGCCAGGAAATATTTTTATATGAATAATTATACTAAGAAGGGCTCGTGGCAGGTGGTTTCACAGAAAGGGTGAACTGTACAATGTGGGGATATGTTCTCCATCAGTGGAGACGCCTACAGCCCTGGGGTGTTTAACAGAGATGTTCTAATACAGCCTTACTGATTGCAGATCAGCTCCGGGGGACGTGACCCTCTGCTGAGAATCATGCCAGTACACACTGTGTTGTGTTGCTGGTGAGAGTGTACGAATGCAGCTGACGAGAAGAGACCTCTCAGGTGAGTTAGAGGGAAGGAAGGGAAAGAACGCCTACTCTAGGTCACAGAAGTAGACTGGGTGAGTTACTTGGCATCCTAGCCTGTGAGGATCCCCTCGGAGCTCACCTTTCTTTCCCCAACTGAGTTTCTTCTGTTCTCAACAGAGATTTCCAGTCAAACACCTGAACTTTCGGAAAAGACATATTCTAGCTGAGGTCTCCACGTGAAGCGGGACCGGTCACGGCTGCCCGGGTGGGGCAGCATGTCATAGTGGGTGGAGATGGGTGGGTCAAACAATGCCTCTCATCTCTGCGGCAGAGTAGAAGAGAATTCCGGAATAGGCATCTTCTGAAACAGCAGTGCAGGCTTGGAACAACTCAAAACCTCTCCTGCAGCATCTATCAGCTCTATATCCTAGTCCTCGGGGGTTTTCAGGACTTGCGGTCGTCATTTCTCTTCCATGATCTCTGTGTGGCATGTTCACAGATTTCTGCCACAAAACCAAACCATGCATCTCTTTTTAAGTATCTTTGTTGTAAAGGTGATAATAGTGGGGGGGGGTGTTACAGTTACACAGGTGAGGTAATGAGTGAATTTCCTTTTCTCCCACTTATCCTTCCCTACTCCTTCCCTGCCAAATGGTATGGTTCATTTCCAACACAGTGTCTAACGAGTATCATTGTTGCATTAGGTCATCCTTTGTCCTGCTGATTCTGTGATTCCTTTTCCCTTCCATAGATAAGGTAAAATTATATGCAAGACAAAGGGTACAGAAAAGTAAAACAAAAAATAGAAATGACTGCATACAGGACATAATAGCCTCTTGTGTCCAGTTCTTGGAGTTCACGTTGATACGCTTCATTATCTATAGTCCTATGCACTTAGTGATTAGGCTACTGTGACCCCCCTGTTAGGAATATCATAGACATATCCTCATTATTACAAATGAGGGAAACAATGCAACCTACTTTTCTTTAGGCCTAGCTTGCTTCACTTCATATATTTTTTCCAGGTCTTTCCATTTCCTTACGAACGGGGCAATGCCATTCTTTTTGGTGGAAGTGTAGAACTCCATTGTCACACCATGCATCTTTAATCAGGACAGTTCAGGAGCTCTGGGACCGGAAGGTCAGAGAACAGTCCAGGAAGACTCTAAAAGAGGTCTTGTGCATGAGCAAGTGCGCGCTCATTCTTATCACACTAAATCCTTAGAGCTACAAAACAAACGCTTGTATTTTCCCTGGATTGGTATTGCAGGTCGTTGGGAAAGAAGGACCTGATATTTCATAAGTGAAGGACTATTTGGAGATATAGCAAGAAGGAGAGAAAAGACGAGCCATTTGTCTTTCTGAGCCTGTCTTCCTTTTAAAAAATAAACAAGATTGACAAATGTTTCTAGCCTACTTTTCACATTTGATGATTAGTTCATCTGACTTCCTTCATGTTCAGTTTATTACTGAACAAACAGTTCCTGTATTATAGATGTCCAAGCAGAATTATAAAAGGGCAGAAAACGAGCCCAAAGGACAGAAAGAGAAGAGAAGAGAGAATTGAAGTTCATAATAAAAAACCTGGAAAAGGAGAGAGGAGAAAAAAGGGAAAGAGGCAGGGAGATGGCACAATGGGTAAATTGGGAGTTAGATGAGGAGCAAGAAAGATACGTCAAAAAGTAGACCAGAGGGCTATTTTGGCCCCACATAAGTAGGATCTCCTTCATGTTAAGGTTTGGAATTGTTTTGTGGTGCAGAGTATGGGAGGGAGAACAAATTGTACCTCCTCGAACCTGATACCCACAGATACAGAAAAGACAGTCGTGATCTGAGTCACATGGAAGCTGCCCCACAGAGACTCCACAGAGTGAAGAAGGGAGGGCCTGTGCCATCCAAAGCTGAGCATTCAAGGAAACAAGTCCCTCCCAGGGGAACAGACCTGGGGGACAAACTGGACAGACCGGGTTCAGGCCAAGTCCTACACCCAAACGAAGTCGTCCAGGAGGCTGTGGCCAGTGATGTGAACAGCCAGTGTGGAGGCAGCAGCCCTGGCTTTTCCCTCATATCTATGCTGGCTGCCGTGTTAGCGGGAAGGAAATCAGATGCAGGCAAATAAACCCTGGCTCTAGTTTCTGCTGGAGTCACTTGACATTGTTTTGTAGCTTGGGGAGAGCATCTAATTAAACATTTTCCATTTGCCAAATCGCACCATGTTCCATTGCGGATTGGTGGGGGCTTGTTTATTTGGAATACAGAGTGTTAAGTGTTGATTTTTAAGATGGCTGTGCTGTCAATCCAAGCCAATCTACTAAAATTCAAACATTCAAATTAAGTAAATTAAGTCAGTTAAATTTAACACTGATTTGCATAGTGTCTACTGTTTGGATAGTATTTGAATTTTGCCTATGACATTCTTTTTTTGTCTGTTGTCTGTTTGTTTGTACCAGTCCTGGGGCTTGAACTCAGGGCTGGGGACTTGTCCCTGAGCTTTCGTGCTCAAAGCTAATGCTCTATCACTTGAGCCACAGTTCACTTCTGTTTTGTTTTTTGGTTTTCTTTGATAGTTTATTGGAGATAATACTCTCATGAACTTTCCTGCCTGGGCTGGCTTCAGACCAAGATCCTCAGCTCTCAGCCTTCTGAGTTACTAGCATTTGCCTAGTTTTAGTCCTCTTTTTGTACGAGCACTTCTGCCTTCTTTTGTTTCTCATGACACTGATATTTTAAAAATTATAAACCAGCTGTTGCATAGAATATATGAACATATGAACAGTACATATAAATAGCTTTATACCAGCCTTCTTAATACAAAAATCACCCAATCAACTCAATATTTTCCAAAAAAGGCCTTTGTCAAAATTCAATATTCCTTTATGATAAAAGCCCTGAGAAAAGTAGGAATAGAAGAAAAATGCCTCAATATAACAGAGGTTATTTATGACAAACATATAGCCAACATCTCCATCTCCCTAAATGGAAATAAACTGTATTCTCTTTGGAGTCAGAAGGAGACAAGGTACCCATTCTCTCCATTTGTATTTACTAGAGTGCTTCAATTCTTAGGCAGAGCAATAAGAATAAATAAAGGCCAGGTGCTGGTGGCTCATGCCTGTCATCCTAGCTATTTAGGAGGCTGAGATCTGAGGATTGCAGTTCAAAGCTGGCCCAGGAAGGAAAGTCTAAGACTCTTCTCTCCAATAAACCACCAGAAAACTGGAAGTGGCGCTGTGGCTCAAGTGGTAAAAGTGCTCGCCTTGAGCTGAAGAGCTGAGGGATAGAGCCCAGGCCCAGAGTTCAAGCCCCATGGCCAAAAAAAAAAAAAAAAAGCAGGAAAGGAAGAAGTCAAATTATTTTTATTTTCAGAAGATATGATCCTTACCTAAAGGACCCTAAAATTCCATAAACAAAAGAAAATAAAACCTCCTAGAGCTGATGAAAATGTTGTTTTAAAAAACACAGATAAGACATCACAAAACCAGCAGCTTTGTTTATATGCTGTTGACAAGCTGAAAAGGAAATCAGGAAAGAAATTCCATTTGCAGTAGCTTAGAGAAATAAAGATACCTAGAATTAAACTTGGAGGTGAAAGAACACCACAGTGAAAACTGAAACTATTATCCAGGAAGTTGAAGAAGACACCAAAGATGGAAAGACCACCCACATTCATGGATTGGCTGATTAAATATTTTGAAGATGGCCACAGTACTGAACACAATCTACAGATTCACTCACTGTAGTCCCTATAAAATTCCAATGTCATTCTTCAGAAAAATCAATCCTATAATTTATACAAAAGACCACAAATAACCAATGTACTGCTGAGTAGAAAGACAAGTACTAGAGGGCTGGGAAAGTGGCTCAGTGGTAGAGCACTTGCCTTGCATGCATGAGGCCCTGGGTTCGATTCCCCAGCACCACATAAACAAAAAGAAAAAAGCCAGAAGTGGCGCTGTGGGTCAAGTGGTAGAGTGCTAGCCTTGAGCTGAAGGGCTGAGGGACAGTGCCCACGCCCAGAGTTCAGGCCCCATGACCGGACTCCCCCCCCTCCAAAAAAAAGAGAGAAGTGTTAGAGAAATCACAGTATCTAACTTCAAATTATATCACAGAACCAAAGTAACTATGACAACATGGTACTGGCACAAAAACAGACATGTAGGCAAATATAATGGAATAGAAGATACAGAAATAAGCCTACATAACTACAACCATCTGATTTTTTTTCTATGGTGCTAAAATCATAGATTGTGGAAAAGACAGACTCTTAAACAAATGTTGTTAGGAAAACTGGTTATGTACATGCAGATGACTAAATCTAGAATCCTATCTTTATTATGTTCAAAAA